AAAAAATAATATAATGAGTATTTTTGTTTCTGTTTTTACTTGAATAGTTTCATGTTCAAATATTGCTTGTCTCATTAATTTTCCATTTGATGTATATAAACATAATTTTGAACGATTATAACAAACAATAATATCATCATCAAATGATGGTGATAATAGACGTAGTATAGATATTTTTGATAGATTTCCAAATGAACGTAATATTATCATCAGTGTTTTATCCAGAGGGTGGGCAGGGTGGGCGGCGCCCACCCGGGATTTCGATTTGCCCACTCGGAAATACGAAGTTATTGCATTAAAAAAATTGACGTTTCCTTTATTTTTTAGCATAATACTTTTATTCTTTTGCGGACAAAAAAAACTATCATTTTGCATTACATTTTTTTCCCACATAACACACCGTATTAAAAGAACAAAATATACCACAAGGTGCAGCGTGAAAATAACTACAATCTACAAAAGATAACTTGTTTCATAATTGCACTTTTTGTTTTTAAAATGGACAAAATTCGAAGGCACTAGTTCTCGAGTTTTTGAAAAAGAAGTTTTCGATACCATTAGCCGCACAGAATTTTGTCCATTTTGAAAACGAAAACTGCAACTATAAAATAAGCTGTTCGTTTTAAATTATAAAGCTTGTCATGTTGCATCTTGTGGTGTGTTCTGTTTCTTTAATAAAGCATATCAGATGGTGAAAGGATGAAAAAAACAAATTGCTCAGATACCGAAAATTTTCTTTTTTCGCGAAACGTTGAAAGCTAGTGCCTTCAAATTTTATCCATTTTGAAAACAAAAAGTGCAATTATAAAACAAGTTATCTTTTGCAGATTGTAGTTTTTTTCACGCTGCACCTTGTGGTATATTTTGTTTTTTTAATGCAATGTATTATGAGGTGAAAAAATGTAATGCAAAATGATAATTTTTTTGTCCACGGGAGATTATACTCTTTCATCAATTGATGGTGCATAGCTTATGTTTTTTCAACTAGAAAAGAACAGAACAGTCGGATATGAATATTATATAACTCAGTTTGACGATGTACTAAATTGTCTATTATTTGCTATTGACCATGATGTCCGTTCAAAAGAACAAAAAGATAAAAAAAATTCATTTATGTCAGACTAATTGTTCTTTTACGTTGTATATTTCATATTGTTCACATTAGTCTATATCGTTTGTAACATATATCGTTCAACGAATGTCGTCAGGGCAAAAATCTTTGACTTCTTACTTTAAAAGGAAAGAAAATACAGAAGAGCCAGTTAGCAATGTAACGAAGAAAGCCAAAATAGGCAATGATTCCAGTAATATTATAAATGAAGACGATGCCAATGCGCAAACACTTTCAAATAATGAGTTACCATCTGATACTCGATCTATTACTAATGATAATCTTCAATTAACTACAAATGTAAATGATAATAAAAAACGTACGTATCAAAAAAGGTATTCAGATAGTTTTCCGTGGCTTTTATATGAACCAAATAAAGGTGGATTTTGTCGCATATGTCGTGATTATTGGACACCAGCAACACCATCTTTCTCCGAAATGATTACAAGAACTAGAGGCGCTTTTATTATACAACCGTTTATCAATTGGAAACATGCACCTGGTCCAAACGGAAGTTTACAAAAACATCAAGATTCTTATTATCATAAAATATCTTTGGAAAATTTATCCTTTAGGCAACAAGAAGGATCAGTGATACAACAATTACTTAATGTTAGTGAATTAGAACGCCAAGAAAATCGTGAAAGATTTGCTGATTTATTAGATGCTGCATATTTTTTATTTAAGCAAGAGCTTCCACATACAACGTTATATTCTCCATTATTAGAATTATTAACAAAAATTGATCATAGTCAGAAATTATCATTATTTTTTGATAAATGTAAAAAAAATGCTAGTTATGATAGTACAACAACAGTGACTGAGTTATTAGAATCAGTTAGTGAAGTAATTGACGAAAAGTTATTAACCAAAATTCGTGAATCGAGAATTATTTCAATTATGGCTTGTAAGCTTCTCGTTATGGTATGTCTTAGACTCTTGCCCCACTCTATGGTTTAGGCCAGAAGACAGTTATAATTAGATCCCGGTCTGCAACG